AAAATAGTTAGCACTATCATGATTACCACTATATGTTGAACAATAAACAACACTTACATGAGAATTTGAATCATTTTCCCCTTATTTACTTAGCAACCTCTCAACATTATCCATTCGAGAATTAAACATATTTTCTAATTTAGTACTTAAAAAATTGAGAGTGTGAATTTCATACATACTGGTTGCTCTTCTTAAGTTATCTCTTTCATTTATGCATTGATAGTTATTAGAAGTATTTCCTCTATCAAAGTTTGAGCATTCTTAATTGATTTTTTCATTAAAATTTCACCGATGGTGGCATCTATGTTGATCTTGTTTGGATAGTTGAGTTCATTAGAGAAAATTTGAACAACCAACCAATCAGGGAGACCATGATGGAGACATCTTCTTTAAAGATCTTTGAATCTCTTCCAAGCTTTATATAATGACTTGCTTTCATATTGAGCAAAACCTATGATATCCATGTGAAATTTTGCCTTTTTTTGGAAGAAAAATATTTATTCAAGAATATTTTTATCAACTCACCCCAAGAAGTGAAAGCATTAGGTGGATAAGAATTAAACAAACTTTGCTTTATCACAAAGTGAAACAAGAAACATGCTTAGTTTAATTGCATCATCTTTTACTCTATTTATCTTGATTGTGCCACATAAATCCATGAAATTAACTATATAAGTATTAGGATCCTCCGTTGTATTTCATTCAAATTGACTTTGTTGAACCATTTAGATAAGTGAGAGCTTGATTTCAAAGTTGTTTGTATTAATTACCAGCCTTGTAATACTTGTTTGTGCTCCTAATTCATTTGGCAAGACATAATTCCTCAAAGGCCTTAATCTTTATTCCTCCATTTCAATGAAAATTTCACCTATGCTTTTCACCTCAATTTGCTCTTGTTGGGCGCATCTTCTTCCTGTTCTTGCCATGTTTAATTTTTGAAGGTAAATTGTGCCTTTAGTGAAGAATTTAGTACCTAAAAATAACCAAAATTACAACTGAAAGATAGAAACTATAAAATTAGTAAAATAAATAGAAAGTAACTAAATCTAGATTAATATATCTTACTTTAACTCTAGTGTTGCACCTAAATCCCCGACAATGGTGCCAAAATCTTGATAGGGTCTTTTTATACACTACAAATTTTAAAACCTTATTGCCCTATTTTCCCAAGTGTATGATTCGTTTATTAATTATAGAGATAATAGTTGTTGATTCCACAGGGATTTAGAATGTGATAATCAATTGAATTTAATTGCTTATTTTACTATCTAAACAATCAAAGTTTAAGAAATAAAAACAAAGAAAATTAACTATGTAATAAAATCGGCCATGAAAGATATTAGGTTAGGCGATACAACTTGCCATATGACATAAACAATAAATATAAAACCAACCATTAGATAGTAAAACCAACCATATGGTTGGTATGTTGCAAAAAAAAAAAAATAAAAGTAAAGATAAGTTCGATTAAAATTACTGAAAAATTTAGAGAGAGAATCCTAGGGATCAGAATCCCTTGTTATTTTAAGATTAGAAGTTAATTAAGACGATTATGCTTATGCTTGCATGAATTTTCAAGGAATAATTTTCAAATATATGCCCTTGCTTTCGCCTGTGGACATTCTTAAGAGCAACCACTTGGACTAATTTCTCTAGAAATTGCTTTTGCCAATTTCCTTGACTTCTTGAATCATCCTTCACTTATGCTCATAGAGAAAAGGTAAGAAACAAGTTAAATAAGTTCAATGAAGTTATTGTATGATTCCAACCAACCATTATTCACTACTTTCGTGAAAATAAGGCTAATGTTTAAGAACATAGATCTATTTGAAAGTAACTTTCATTGCTTAATAATGATCAAATCATTCATAGTTGAAGGCCAAACAACTATAAAGCATAAGCACAAGTTCTCAAACTAACAAGTCATGAAAAAACATCATCATCCCCTAACTACTTCAAATCAAAACTATAAAAAGTTCATTTTCAAATCGAAACTATAAAAATCTTGTCTAGATATCATATTAAGAACATATGAGTATGAAATAAACTTATAACAAAGTATGAAAAATAAGAACAAGAGATAAGTTAGGAAAAAGAATTCTTATTCAATGTCTTGAAGGTTGAATCCTTGAATTCCTTCACTAGTTGACCTCTCAAATAAGTTTAATACAACAGTGTTTTCACCTTCTTCTCAAAACTCTTAAACTAACTTTGAAACTCACAATATGAAACTAGTGCTAAACTACTTCTACCTCTACTTCTTACTATAAGGTGCTACAAGATGCTAAAAGTTGCTCAAGTGAATGAGATACAAGGGATATTCATAATGTGGTTATAAAGTTGTTCTTCACTTTTCCAACTCAAGTTTAGCTGGTTCCAGTCGGATTTTATCAGAAAAAATTGGTCCATAAAGTAGTGTGAAATGAGTGCAAGTTGCAGAATCAACTTGCAAAAACTTCTCAGGGATCCGCAAGGTATACCTTGTGGATCACCTCGCGGTTCTTCATTGTTCACAATTTTTCACTTTTTGCTCAAATATCAACTTTGCTTTGTTTTTGGACCAATTTCAACTGCAAATTTCTTGATGATGGAAGCTGAATTAGCTCTTGAACAAAACATGAAAATTGTAACTCTTTGAGTAACTTTCCAATTTATTAAGAATCATCTCATTTGGATCTCTGTAGGATGATAAATGACCAAAATATCCTTGAATGGTTGATGCCCTGTTTCAGCTTTTAACAGAAATTTCTCCTAAGTGTATTTTGACCTTTTGACCATGGAAATCAATGAATTGAATTTCAATATCTTCATAAGAATTGTAGAGCTGTGTTTTATCTTCAAAATGGTTTAAGAAACATTTCAATCCGATACTTATAACTCAAGATATAGCCAAAATACCAAGGTATGTCAAAACTATCAATCTCTTCTTGATTTGAATCAATTTAAAGGATACCAAAACCTACAAAAACAACCCAATTTTGCATATTAACCCACACTTTTGCATGTTTTGGTTAAGAAACACTACTTGTATGAAAAATAACTTATAAAAGAATTCAATTCTTCCATTTTAACTTAAAACACACCAAAAACTCAATCTAAAACCTAACTAAAAATAAGTAAAATAAATGCTAATAATTTGGATTCAAACGCCTTTGAATTTCCGCCACCGACTTAGCATTTCTCTTCCAAAAAAATCCTATGCATGCAAATAGTAGGGTTTATACTCTTGAGATCAAATATGGTCCAACTAATTGTCGATTTGTATCTCCTTAAAATTTGTAACAACTTGTCCAACTGCACATCATCAAAAAAAGCACTTACTATTACCAGTAATGCATTATTTTCACCAAAAAAATGCATACCTTAGATGATCAGGCACTACTTTAATGTCAAGAATTGGAATTTGTTCATTTGACTGCGGTGGTAGTCCTTTTCCTTTTCTAAACTTTCGTAATGATTTGCTCTTTTATAAGGCACTTGAAAGTTCAAGAAATTAGTTATTTACAAAATCTCCAAATCATCTTCTTGAAAAATAGCATCAAACAAACAAACTTTAGGAGCATCGGACTCTTGCTTAATCCAACTCATATCTTGAGTTAGATTCTCAATCACATCAATTGCATAAACACAATTAGTAAATGAAGGAAATTTCTCAAGTTTGTGCAAATTAAACTCAATTTCATTTTGAATTTAAAGTTACCTTGTTTAACATCAATAATAGCACCGATCATAATTAAGAAAGGTCTACCAAGTATAATTGGCATATTAACATCCTCTTCCATATCAACAACAATAAAATCAACCGAAATTATGAAATTTTTGACTTTTATAAGCACATTCTCAAGCGAACCAAGAGGATATTTAATTGACCTATCCGCTAATTGCAAAGAAATCCTAGTCCTCCTAAGTTCACCTAAACCAAGTTTTTGAACAATGCATAGAAGAATTAATGAAACACTTGCACCTAAATCACATAATGCATTTGAAAAGTTAATGTTACCAATGGTGCAAGAAATTGAAAAACTGTCAGAATCTTTTAACTTTGAAGGGAGTTTGTTTTGAATCAATGCACTACATTCCTCCATCAATGCTATCGTTTTGTGATCTTTTAAACGCCTTTTCTTTGACATGATTTCCTTAAGGAACTTGGCATGAGATGGAATTTGAGAAATAGTATCTGCAAAAAGAATGTTAATATGCAATTGTTTAAACATTTTAACAAACTTTTCAAACTCCTTTTCCAATCGATTTTGCTTAAGTCTTTGAGGGAATGGTATGAGAGGTCTGGCTACATTAGTTTTAGATGCTAATTCCATTTCATTTATAATTTTCTCCTTGCACTTTTCCCCTACACTTACCCTTTGATCATCAATCAAACTCTCTTGTTCTTCCTTTTTTCTTCTCTCTCAGGCAGAACATTAGAAGGACTATCATATTCTCTCTCACCCTGGAGAATAATTGTCTTGCAATGCTCCCATGGATTAATTTCGATTTTACTAGATAACTTCCCTTGATTTCTAGGGTACACGGTGTTGGCACAATTTTTATATTTCTACATATCGAGGTTAATTGGTTCATTCTTCCTTCTAGTCTTTCAAATCTTTTTGAGATGATTTTAATTAATCTATCCATATTATTATTGATAATAGTAGCTAAATCATTTAAAGTATTTTTTATGATATTTTCATTATTTTAAATATTTATATACATGTGACATCATAAACAATGTCAATCAGACTTTCAATTTGTTTTCTTACCAGCACAACTAGTGCAATTCCTTCACTCTTAACCACGACTAAGTCGCCGTAGGCCAAATTGCTATCAAATACTAATGACAGATCAAATTTTTGCCAAGAACCATCAGTCAAATATTTAGCATTTGGTGCCAATTATGCCTAGTTACTTAACGTATTTGCAACATAATTTTGACCAGAGAGTAGGTAACATAAAAAAACACTAACAAAATAACTCAAAGCCAACAGAAGGAATGCTAACCAAACTAAACTTATAACATTCTTATGCTATAAATAACCAAGTTCACAAAATACCTTCTCATTTAAATCCACAGATATAACTCCTCAAACTTCAAAATACTTAAAATATTACAGAATTCAAATCCCAAATGGTCCCCACTTTTTTTTTAAATAAATTTAGATATGTTTCCAATGCATTCTTTAGCGCCAGCACAACAACACTTCATTCTTTCAGAGAGAGTCCACTTCCTGAAGCCTTTGATCCACTACCACCCTTATGAGCAATATCGAGAAAGTTCTTTATGACAGAAACACTAAAGTTGAGATCAGCTTTATATTTTGCGCAGTGCGCTCCAACCCACTTAGTTTCCACACTAGAAGGAATACTGTCCTGGCTGTCCCTCCCATGCGTTTTGATGGCAGGACGTATTTCATCATATACGGATTTGAGATTGGCAGCAGCTTGGTTCTTAATTTTCTGAAAATCATAAAAATATGATAAATATGGCAAGGATTATTTGAGAATCAGGATAATGCATTAGCAAAGAAACCAAGAGGAAAAAGAATATCGATGCAAATGATTCTACAATATACACAAGCATAAGCACTAGAAGGATTATCATTGGTGGAAGATTAAGAAATAGGTTTTGACAAACATAATAAAATTTTAATCAGTTGTTGTGATGGTAAGGACAAATTGCTTATTTGTCTAGACAACAGAGACACATTTCAAGGAAGCATCAACCAAACAAAATGCGAAAAGAAAGAAGGCAAACACCAAAAAGAAAAGAAACAAAAAAGGAACAAGAAGAAGAGTGCGGTTGCTTCAATGAGCAATACTAGAATTAAGCATAAACATACAAAACTACAAATATTTCGCCTTCTTTAGTGATGTAAGAGACTAATTCATATGCTTGACAGTACCTTCAAAACTCAACAAAGAATCAATCAGATTGAATAGCCCAACACATTCTAAATAAGCATTATTTTCATTCCTTGTTTTAGTAATAAGCTTCCACACCACTTAAACAAACTTTCACTCAACTGCAAGCATATTGACTGTAGCAAAAAGATGAATAACGTTAAATGCAGCATTCAGCAATGATACAAGATACTGAAATACCGCCATGCGCCATACAGCATACATGATTGTCCTTAGTAAAACAAGTCAAGCTTACAAACTGATGGGAAGCCCAAGTGCCTCTCATTTCACGAGAAAGAAAGAGTGAGCGCATGTGTGTGCGCGTGCGCGAGAACAAAATACTGGAACACCACCATGCCCCATACAATTCACATGATTGTCTTGGACAAAAACAAGACAAGGTTCAATTATATGACATACGAATAGGATGCCAATGTGTGCAGAGAGAGAGAGAGAGATAAGCTAGCTAGTAACAGATATAGATACGGGGAATATTTTAAGGCTCACAAAAACTCTGAGAAAGATTATTTGTACCTCATATTTGCGCACTTCTTTCTGTGCTTCCTTTGATGGAAACAAATCAGCAATATTTTTTGTATTGGATTGCTTTCCCCCAGTAGATCTTTTCTTTTGCTTCGGTAAACGCTCTGATTTCTTCTTTGAAGACGAATTTGATCCAACATCTTCTTGCGCTTCCTTTGATTGAAACAGATCAGCAATATTTTTTGTATTGGATTGCTTTCCCCCAGTAGATCTTTTCTTTCGCTTCGATAAACGGTCGGATTTCTTCTTTGAAGATGAGCCTGATCCGACATCGAAATTTTGAGAAGCACTATCAATTCGAAGTCCAGATAAGACTGCTCTCATCTGATAAACGGCCTGTTGCATGTCTTGTTCCTTTGATTTTCCGCTCTCCAAGACTTCTACTTTCTCGGTATTCATTGTCATGCCATCAACTTGAACTGAATTGTGTGGCATGACAGTAGTAGAGGAATCCAACTTCCATTCAAGCACATCGCCAACTTCCATTTTCTGAGAGTAATCAGTTGCCAGACCATCCAAAGAATCAAATTTGAAAGGGCTAATGGTTTCAGGGATGCGTGAAAGGGGCTCATCTTTAGCAGAGTCATGAAGTGGAACCTTCTCAACTCTGTACCAGCATAGAAACAGCTACATTATATATCATATCCAAAAACCAAAACGACTATTACAAAGGAAAAATTCCTGACTGCAGCTGTCACAGAAAAGGAATCGTGACAGATAAAAGGGAAGCATAAAGTACATTGTACACTGCCAGTAGTTTCAAAACCAGAGTAAAATATCCAGTTATGCAATTCAAACAGGTACACAGAACTGAGAAAAAAACAAGCACTTCAGCTGTGAAATAAGGAGCCTTAAATGGCTGTATCTAACCTATTAATTTTAGAACAATGAAAAAAAAAAAAAAAAGCAATCAGAGATGATCATTGTGGATGAAACAATTTCAATTAACTGGCATGTTCGTGTGCAGATTAACTCTCTGCAAACATTTTGGCACCAAGTGTATTGATAGATTGACAAAAGAAAAGATGGATTATGGGGCACCCAGAGCAAACAGTGTAATCATGCTGTTTATGAGATTCTGCTGGTAAAAGGCAAAATTGAATAGTGAATGTGAACAAGAAAGAAAAAGCAATTGGCAAACAATGGCAAAACCATACTCGACAACCAAACAATCACTCATTCTGAGCCCTAACGATATATCAGCTCTTCAGAAAGGCAAAAGTAATTGTTGGAATTCTCTTTTTTAACTACTAAAGTGAAATTGCATTGACTAAATCAGCCAAAATCAAAAGCCCTATATAAGCCAGCCAAACTATTTTCTCAACCAAACTTCTAGACAACTGAGTAAAACACACAGATTTGATTTGGAAGTATTTGACTAGAACGATTTGGTTCATCTTGTTTGCAGTTCATCTGCATCATAAGGACTCTTCTACTCAAATGCTCAGTTGGAAAGCGCTTTGAATTGAGTAACCAAGCTGATATTACTGCAGGAATAACTAGTGGTCAAACACAATTTAATCTTCTAGACAAGGAGATGCAATTCATTTTAGAACTTTCAGCAGAAATGACATTCAATTCCAGACTCGGTGCGATGCTAATGTAAGAAGTGATTCTTTACTTCAGCAGGTTAGATTCCCAGTAAACCCTATGATAGCGATAAGTGGCAAAAGTCCACTAAGGTTTATAGGAGATGTGGGAAGGATATGTCGAATGCCCAGGCATTGATTTGGCATGCTTTTGATGACAAGGAACCAACTTGGGAGTTGGCCTGAACCCTATGGAATTTATTTTCTGATTTCTGTCGGCAGGGGTATTTTAGTAATTTGAATTAGCTGCAGGAATTTTATGTTTACAGTAATATTTGTTTAGTAGTTATTCTTGGTAATTAGTAAGTTGGTTGTTATAGGGAATAAGAAGGCTTAGCCTTCTAGCTTTCTAGTTATAATTCTATTCTAGTTAGGAATCCTAATTAGGATTGGAAAGGGATTTGTCCTAGATAGGAATCCTAATTAGGATTGGAAAGGGATTTGTCCTAGTGTCTATAAATATCAACTTCTCCACAAAGAGAAGGCAGTTTTTGGTCATCAATAAAATATTCCTGCAGACTTAACGTCTCCCTTAGGGCTGTGTGATGCATCCCAACTTTAGGTGTGAGGCCTAAAGATTCCTAGGAGTGATTCCTAGAACTACCAACCAGTTTTACCTTCTTAAGCATAATCTGCCAGCCTATTTCAAGTTGCTATTTTAAGTTCGGTGATATTCAATATATAAGCCCTTCTACAACACTGTTGCGCCCACCAAGTGTTCGTGCTGCGTCAATTTTGGTAATCAGAGCTAGGCTTTCCCATGACGACAAGAAGTGGGTTGAATTTTAGAGGTCGATACACAGACAAGGAACGGGATAACATCATTAATCTTCTCTTAGGGAGGGTTGCTGTATTAGAAGACAAAATTTTTAATACCGAGCAACAGCAAATCCCTGAATCTGGAGGCAACAGTGAGCCCGGACCTGGGGACAAAAACAATGGAAAGGAACCTGAGCATCTCGAACAGCCTGAACACATAATCGGGAAACAATCTAGTAGGAGTGAAAATAGAATAAATCAATCTTTTGGAAGGCCACAAGCTTCTCTTTTTGACATGGCTGATGAGATTGTTCAATCAGCAAGACAAGGAAGACAAAACTCTTATGATTTCGCAGGAGACATCACAAAAAGGGTAAGAGTAGATATCCCTGATTTCGATGGAAGGATTGATCCTAAAGTCTTTTCTGATTGGCTCGCTACTTTGGAACGCTATTTTGACTGGTATGATATGACTGATGAGAGAAAAGTTAAGTTTACTATCATGAAACTTGTTGGACAAGCCCAGGTGTGGTGGACAGGAGTCGAGCATGATCTTCGACTTGCTGGACAACTAGACTTGACGTGGGAAGAGATGAAGCTGCGTTTGAAGAGAAAGTACGTGCCTCTACACTATGAAGCTGACCTTTTTGATGAGATGACTAGCTTAAGGCAAGGAGGAATGACAGTTGCTGAATATATGAATAAGTTTGAGGAGCTGAAAATTCGCTGCGGAGGCACCGAAAGTTCAGCACAAGCTTTATCCAGATTTAAGTTGGGTTTGAGACCTGAAATTCGCAAAGAATTGATGGGACGGGATATCTACACAGTTGACAATGCATTCCAAACAGCTCTTAGACTGGAAAAGAGCCTGCAGCAGCCACCACTTAAGAGGATCAGTACTCAAGGTGGGGAGGAAATTCCTAAAAGATTCACTGCAAACAGCAAGCCATATAGATCAGCAGCAGCTCAAGCAACTTCCAAGCCTGCGGAGACCAAGACTAAGACTTCCACAATCGATGAAAGACACAAGAACAAAGATGGATGTTTCAAGTGTGGTTTGAAGGGACACATGGCATGGGAGTGCCCGAACAAGAGGAACTTGCACCTTGGCGCCGAATTCAGAGATAAGGAAAATCTAGAGGTCGAGGAAGATGAAGGTGCTGATTATTTGACTGAGATAGCGCAACTTAATGTTGATGATTTGGAAGACGAAGAAGAAGACACGTCTTATCTCTCGGTTGTGAGGCGGCTCCTTAGTGCACCAAAGTCACAAAAGGAAGACTGGCGAAGAACTTCAATCTTTCAAACCTTAGTGTGCTGTGGGCAAGAGACTAGAAAGCTAATTATTGATGGTGGCAGCAGCATGAACGTGGTTTCAGAATCTACCGTACAACGGTTAAATTTGCCTACAGAGCCACATCCTGAACCTTACAAGGTTGCTTTGATCAACAGTAGCTCTATACCGGTAACGAGACGTTGCTTGGTGTCCATTAAACATGGACCTTACAGCGATACCATATGGTGTGACGTTATTCCAATGACCGTTTCCCACATACTTCTTGGTCGACCTTGGCTATATGATTGAGATGTAAATCATAATGGAAAGTCAAATACTTACTCATTCAAGTTTAATGACCAGCAAATTGTCTTAAAGCCTATGAGTGCTAAACTATGAAGAAGTTTCATGAGAAGAAACCAACCAAACAAGAGAAGCCAGGAGTTAATGAAGTGATCGAGACAAGGAAGAAACCTCTTCAGATTTTGAGCAAGAAGCAATTTGAAAGGGAGAGCAAGGAGCAAGGAGTTATTATGGTATTAGTCTTCAGGGAGGTGAAAATTTCAGCAGTTGTCAACTCTGAAGAAGTGCCTCCAGAAATTGTCAAATTGCTGTCCGATTTTTCTAATGTAGCTCCTGAAGATTTGCCTCATGGGCTACCACCTATGCGTGATATCCAGCATGCAATAGATTTGATACCAGGCTCTCAACTTCCTAACTTGCCTGCCTATCGCATGAACCCGAGTGAGTCTGCTGAACTTAAGAGACAAGTAGAGGAGCTCTTGGACAAAGGACATATTCAAGTCAGCCTAAGTCCTTGTGCAGTGCCGGCTTTATTGACTCCAAAGAAAGAAGGAACCTGGAGAATGTGTGTAGATAGCCATGCAATCAACAAGATAACAATCAAGTACAGGTTTCCCATACCTAGACTTGATGATATGATTGATATGATGGCTGGGTCAACTATCTACACTAAAATTGACTTGCGAAAGGGGTACTATCAAATCAGAATTCGTCCAGGTGATGAGTGAAAACAGCCTTTAAGATGAAGGATGGTCTCTATGAGTGGCTAGTGATGCCATTTGGCCTCCCTAATGCTCCTAGCACCTTTATGAGATTCATGACGCGGGTATTTCAGCCCTTTATTAGCCGTTTTGTGGTTGTCTATTTCGATGAAATCTTAATTTACAGCAAGAACAAAGAGGAGCACATTGACCACCTTCAACAAGTAATGAGAGTTCTTCGTCAAGAAAAACTCTATATCAACTTGAAGAAGTGCACCTTCATGGCTCCTAGTGTGGAATTTTTGGGTTTTGTCAATTCAAATGAAGGGATAGCTGCTGATCCAGGAAAAGTGAAGGCAATAGTGGATTGGCCAGTTCCTACTAATTTGAAGGAGGTTCGCAGTTTCCATGGGCTAGCTTCATTCTATAGGAGATTTATAAGGGGGTTTAGCTCTATTATGGCTCCCATCACTGATTGCATGAAGCAGGGACAGTTTCAATGGACAAAAACTACGGCTAAGGCTTTTGAAGAATTAAAGAAGCGAATGACCGAAGCTCCAGTGCTTAGGCTGCCAGATTTTTCTAAGGTGTTTGAGATCGCATGTGATGCTTCTCATGTCGGGATTGGTGGAGTTCTAAGTCAAGAAGGTCATCCTATAGCTTATTTTAGTGAAAAGCTGAATGAGGCAAAGCAGAAATACTCCACTTATGACAAGGAATTCTACGCTGTTATTCAATCTATTCGCCATTGGCATCATTATCTTATTTATAAGGAATTTGTCCTATATACTGATCATGAGGCCCTCAAATATATAAATTCTCAAAAGAAATTGAGTCATCGGCATGGCAAATGGGTTTCTTTCCTGCAACAATACAATTTTGTTATCAAACACAAGGCAGGTGTTGAAAATAAGGTGGCTGATGCACTAAGCCATGTGCATCTTATCCTCACTACTATGGCTGTTCAAGTAATTGGGTTTGATTCACTTAAGCAAGATTATCCTCATTGTAGAGATTTCAAGGTCATATATGAGGATTTAATGGCTGGTAAACAAGCAGAATATGCTGGTTTTTCCATCCATGATGGCTATCTTTTCAAGGGGACTCTACCTTGTGTTCCTAGTACTTCACTAAGGGAGGAGTTAATTTGGGAATTACACGGTGGAGGTGCTGCTGGACACTTTGGACGTGACAAGACAATTGCCATGGTGCAAGATCGCTTCTATTGGCCAAGTATAAGACGGGATGTTGGCAAGACTGTTGGTAGATGCCGAATTTGTCAATTGGCCAAAGGGCGAAAGAAAAACACTGGTCTTTACATGCCACTACCCATTCCACATGAACCGTGGCAGGATTTGAGCATGGATTTTGTACTTGGACTACCAAGAACATTGCGAGGTTATGATTCTATACTAGTAGTTGTGGACAGATTTTCAAAAATGGCTCACTTCCTCCCATGTGCTAAGACTTCGGATGCTGTCCATATCACTAAGATTTTCATCAAAGAGATAGTTAGACTTCATGGACTGCCCATGACTATAGTTTCAGACAGGGATGTGAAGTTTATGAGTTACTTTTGGCGGACTTTGTGGAAGATGCTGCACACTAAAGTCAAGTTTTCTTCTTCTTTCCACCCACAAACGGACGGTCAGACAGAAGTTGTTAACCGCAGCCTTGGTGATCTACTTCGGTGTTTCGTTGGTGATCATGTTTCCAATTGGGATCAAATTCTACCAATGGCAGAATTTGCTTACAATAGTTCAGTGAATCGTTCAACTGGTTATAGTCCTTTTGAGGCTGTAACGGGAAATAATCCTCGCAAACCAATTGACTTGCTTCCATTACCAGTTAGTGCTCGTCCAAGTGCTGAAGCTGAGGCTTTTTCTAAACATATTTTGGATATACATGATGAAGTTCGACACCGGATTGCTACCAGCAATGAAAGGTACAAGGCACATGCGGATTTGAAGAAGAAATTCGCAGAATTTGAAGAAGGGGATGAAGTTATGGTTCGTATTCGGCCAGAGAGGTATCCTAAGGGCGTCTACAAGAAGCTACATTCAAGAAGTGCAGGCCCCTTCAAGGTTCTCAAGAAAATCAGCTCAAATGCTTATGTTCTTGAGTTACCCGATGATATGGGGATTAGCAATGTGTTCAATATTGAAGACTTGACTGCTTATAATGGGCATTTAGATGATTCAGCAGGTGGGACTTCTAAGGCTGCTCTTCCACCTCCTACACGCTTACGTGAAGCAATTGAAGATGTTCTTGACCACCAAATTGTGTCCACTAGAGGGGGTGGTTACCAAAAGTTTCTTGTTCATTGGAGGGGACACCCATGCACAGATTGTACATGGATTACCGAATCTGAATTTCAGAAGTTGGATCCATATTTCTATGAGAGGTATCAGGCCATTAACTCTCGGGGTCGAGTTTTTTCAAGCCGGGGAGAGATGATAGCGATAAGTGGCAAAAGTCCACTAAGGTTTATAGGAGATGTGGGAAGGATATGTCGAATGCCCAGGCATTGATTTGGCATGCTTTTGATGACAAGGAACCAACTTGGGAGTTGGCCTGAACTCTATGGAGTTTATTTTCTGATTTCTGTCGGCAGGGGTATTTTAGTAATTTGAATTAGCTGCAGGAATTTTATGTTTACAGTAATATTTGTTTAGTAGTTATTCTTGGTAATTAGTAAGTTGGTTGTTATAGGGAATAAGAAGGCTTAGCCTTCTAGCTTTCTAGTTATAATTCTATTCTAGTTAGGAATCCTAATTAGGATTGGAAAGGGATTTGTCCTAGTGTCTATAAATATCAACTTCTCCACAAAGAGAAGGCAGTTTTTGGTCATCAATAAAATATTCCTGCAGACTTAACGTCTCCCTTAGGGCTGTGTGATGCATCCCAACTTTAGGTGTGAGGCCTAAAGATTCCTAGGAGTGATTCCTAGAACTACCAACCAGTTTTACCTTCTTAAGCATAATCTGCCAGCCTATTTCAAGTTGCTATTTTAAGTTCGGTGATATTCAATATATAAGCCCTTCTACAACACTGTTGCGCCCACCAAGTGTTCGTGCTGCGTCACCCTAGGAATGATTTCTAGGTTTCCCTTCACCCAATTTTCTGAATATATCTTCATTTATCCTTCAAAATCAATCTCTACTCCTGGAATTTTTTAATCAGTTCTATTCTTTAGAATCATGAAGCACCACATGAAAATGTTTCATGTCCTTTGACATATTGCCGAAAAAAGATATTGTCACAGTCATGTAAAAGTATATCCCTCTACCATACTAATTGCCTTCAAAAAGTGATTATAATCCAAGCAAAGTAAGCACAAAGAAGCTTTTCTCAAGAAAAGTGAGGTGGTGGAAAAACAGTTAAAACTGCAGTGTGAGAGGAGTTACTACCCTTTAACGAATAATTGACGCCTAAAAATTCTATACTTAAAAATTCACATATCTTTCAGATGATTCAGATTTTATACTTAAAAATTCTAGCTAAAAAGCCGAAATCAATTCATCAATTACTGCTGCAGATCCATCTTTCTGAAACAACAATAATAAATATTCCCATGTGCAAACTATTCATTGAACCAGACTAAAACACCTAATGACGGTCAACTGCTAATAACAAATTTTTATGGAGACTCTCACAACTACTGAGTGAATTGAGCAACACTAGAGGCCATCATCAGACTAAGCTTCTCTGCCATATGCCTCTCTTTTATATTAGCAGAATACCTCCAGTAAAAGAGTGGTGATTGACCTGTATATCCGGGTTACTGAAAGAATTTAAACAGATATCAATACACTAAATTAAATTCCAGGAATATGGTAACTTGATATTAGTAATCGCAACTTCAAAATCAACATTGACGTCCACAAGTTTGGTCTGTGATTCATGCGGCAGGAAAAGATCAATTAAAAGTGAAGGTTAGTGCTCTCAATTTTTAAAGTTGAGATCAGAGATCTGGACTTCATGGTTAAGGTCAATGACCTCGACTGTAAGACTAAAATACAGACCACCCCAGCTTCTTATTCTTTTTCCCTTCACCAGACGGTTGTGTCTACCTCTTCCTTCTTCTTTTCTTTGGCTTGGCTCCACCTTCTTTTCTTTCACTTTCAGTACCACTTGTTACTCCTCTTCTCGATATCCCTCAATTATTCTCCCTCCTACCTAGCCCAACTTCAGTTGGCTAGCACATGGAGGATTAGACTAAGCTTTTCACTACATTTTTATTGAAACATCTAAACTTGTTCAAATTTGATTGAAATCCCGTATATTGAGGTCAATCAACTCCTATTAGGTGATATGAAACTAGCACTTTGATTGCCAGAAGGGAAATACCAACTACCTACAAATGAAGATGCTAAAATAAACCAAATGAGGTTGCATTCCAAGAGTTTTGAACTATATTAAACCTGAGCATTCAATAATACAAGGTTGCAAAACAATCGGCTAAAAATGAGACAGAGAGGCAGATCCAGATTGACATTCAATATCAATCAAACAGAGTCATATTATCTGACAAATATGAAATAAGAAAACCCATCTCCATAACCAAATGATCTGGATTTGGAATGTATGTATCTGAACAAATACAAGTAGCTTTATCCAAGCAAGTATTTACGCACTTCAACCCTTTTCTTAACAATTAATAGAAGAAAAGATATTTGAAGACAATTACCAGTTGCAATAATCATAATCACCATCCTATTCCTGAGAAAAGAAGACAGGCAAATGCAAAAGCATCGAATCTAAGAGCAAAAACTTGTAACTTCATTAGACGTGTATAAGAAAAGAAGAAGTACGAATTCTGGCGAGGCGTTGGATTCTAATCTCCGCTACAAAAAAAAAGAGGATGAGAGAGAGAGATTGCAAAGCACATATTTGCACAGCAGTAACTTGGTAAAGCATTTGACTAAGTGGTAGCCCATTGGCCAAATTTTGAGGCATGGATCTGGAAGACAAAAAAGGCCTTGCAGCTGTAAGGCTGTAAGATGTAATTAGAATCTGTTGGGAGGATTTCTTATTTTTAGTCACTTAAAACACTTTCATGTGAGATCTTATGGCTAAAGTACTTTGTCCTTACCCTATATATAAAAATTCAATTTGTCTGGAAACTAATTCCCAAATATCAGACAGTAGAATTTCTAAAGGCCGCAGACACTTTGTAGTTGCCCTGAGGTACAAAAGTTCTGTTGCTAACCATTCAAATCTCCTGTAGTAAATGAACATCAGCTAATTAACAATCATCAAATGTTCTCATCAAGCCAAAGGTAATTTCCCAAGTTGAAAAGCAAATCTACAGCATGCAGAGAAAAATTACCTGTCATCTCCCTCTTCCCACACATGGTTATATTCCTGCAACGTGATGAGACAACAGCAAATGAGCGAAACACAAAAGTTTTGATATAACTAAAATTTTAGTTGGACAAGGAGATAAAATGTCAAAAGGAAATAGAGGAAGAAATTAATGAATTTCAAAAAACAATTGAAGCATTCCAATTTCAAAAAGCTAAAGTACTAAAATTTCAGAAAAGAACAACCATTCCAATTAATATTGAATCAAGTTAATCTAGAAATTGAAGCATCTCGAGATTGACTAGCTAAAAGGAAGGCCTGCAAAGACTAAGAACTTTGTAAGCATTTTTCAGAATGAAATAGACAAGGATGGAATATGGTTTTCAAATGAAAAATGGAAGTGCAATTGAGTTATGATCTTTTTCTTTTTCAATGCATGTGATGTTATTACTTCATAAAAGCCAAAGCAGTCATAATGTTAGTAACATGTCCACAACTTCTTTAGATTTTATTTAGAAGGTTTCAACTACTCCAGTCTCCACATGTTTGCTTCCTCAATAATCTCTTATATATTCCCTCAATTTAAGCACAGCCGCATAGTTAGGAAATCAGTGGAACGTTGTACTATTGATAGAGTAAGTGGCAAAAATCCACTAGGGTTTATAGGAGGTGTGGGAAGGATGTGTCGAATGCCCCAAGCATTGATTTGGCATGCTTTTGATAACAAGGAACAACTTGGGAGTTGGTTTGAATCCCATGGATTTCGTTTTCTGATTTTCACCAGCAGGGGTATTTTAGTAATTTTATTAGCTGCAGGAATTTTATGTTTATGGTAATTTTCTGTTTAGTAATTATTATTGGTAATTAGTATTTTAGTTGATATGGGAAATAAGAAAGCTTAGCTTTCTAGCGTTTTACTAGAATTCTATTCTAGTTAGAAGTCCTAATTAGGATTGGAGTTGGCTTTGTTCTAGCATCTATAAATAACCACTTCTCCACAAAGAGAAGTCAGATTTATATCGTTAATAAAATTTTCCCGCAGGCTCAACCTCTTTTCTTAGGGTTGTGTGAATACATCCTAACTTTAGATGTGGTGCCTAAAGATTCCTAGGAGTGATTCCTAAAATTACTAATCAGATTTTCATCTTCTTAAGCATATTTTCTCATCCTATTCCTGGTTGCTACTTTAACTTCAGGTCAAATTCAATATTTGGGCTTTTCTACAAAGCTGTTGTGCCCACCAAGTGTTCGTGCTGCGTCAGTCTTTTGGTAATCAGATCAAGGCTTTCCCATTACGACAAGAAGTGGGTTGAATTTTAGGGGTCAATACACAGACAAGGCACGGGATAACATCATTAATCTTCTCTTGGAGAGGGTTACTGTGTTAGAAGACAAAATACTGAACAACAGCAAATTCCTGAATCTAGAGGCAAGGGTGGGTCCGGATCTAGGGTCAAAATCAACGGAAAGGAACCAGAGCATCCCAAACAGCCTGAAGACACAACTGGGAATCAATCTGGTAGGGGTGAAAATAGATAAAATCAATCTTTTGGAAGGCCATGAGCTTCTCTTCTTGACATGGCTGATGAGATTGTTCAATCGGCAAGGGAAGGGAGACAAGACGCTTATGATTTTGCAGGTGACATCACAAAAAAGGTAAGAGTTGATATTCTTGATTTTGATGGAAGAATTGATCCTAAGGTTTTTTCTGATTGGCTTGCTACTTTGGAACACCATTTTGATTGGTATGATATGACTGATGAGAGAAAAGTTAAGTTTGCTATCATGAAACTTGTTGGACAAGCCCAAGTGTGATGGACAGGAGTCGAGCATGATCTTCGACTTGCTGGACAACTAGACTCGACGTGGGAAGAGATGAAGCTGCGTTTGAAGAGAAAGTACGTGCCTCTACATTATGAAGCTGATCTTTTCAATGATATGAATAATTTAAGGCAAGGAGGAATGACAGCTGAGTATATGAACAAGTTGGAAGAGCTCAAAATTTGCTGTGGAGGAACAGAAAGTTCAGCACAAGCTTTATCCAGATTTAAGTTGGGTTTGAGACTTAAATTTCGCAAAGAATTGATGGGACGAGATATCTACACAATTGATAATGCATTCCAAGCAGCTCTTAGATTTGAAAAGAGCCTGCCACTAATTAAGAGGTTCAATACTCAAGGTGGGGAGGCAGTTCCTAAAGGATTTGCTACAAATGGCAAGCCATATAAATCAGCAGCAACTTAAGCAACTTCCAAGCCCACAGAGACAAAAAATAAGGCTTCAACAATCGATGAAAGAAACAAGAACAAAGATGGATGTTTCAAATGTGGTTTGAAGGGACACATGGCATGGGAGTGCCCGAACAAGAGAAACTTGCACATTGGCGTTGATTTCGGAGATAAGAAAAATCTAGAGGTCGAGGAGGATGAAGGTGCTGATTATTTGACTAATTTGCCATGACTTAATGTCTGATGATTTGGAAGAGGAAGAAGAACACACGTCTTATCTCTCAGTTGTGAGGCGTATCCTCAGTGCACCAAAGTCACAAAAGGAAGACTAGCAAAGAACTTCAATCTTTCAAACCTTTGTTTGCTGTGGAGAAAAGACTAGAAAGCTCATTATTGATGGTGGTAGTAGCATGAATGTGGTTTCAGAGTCTACCAAACAACGGTTAAAGTTGCCTACAGAGCCACATCCTGCACCTTACAAGGTTGCTTGGATTAACAGTAGCTCTATTCCGGTAACGAGACGTTGCTTGGTGTCCATTAAACATGGACCTTACAGTGATTCTACATGGTGTGATGTTATTCCAATGATTGTTTCCCACATACTTCTTGGTCGACCTTGGCTCTATGACCGAGATGTGGATCATAATGAGAAGTCAAACACTAAATCAAATTTAATAACCAACAGATTGTCTTAAAGCCTATGAGTGTTGAAACTATGAAGTTTCACGGCAAGAAACCAACCAAACAAGAGAATTCAAGGGTTAATGAAGTGATCGAGACGAGGAAGAAGCCTCTTCGGATTTTGAGGAAGAAGCAATTTGAAAGGGAGAGCAAGAAGCAAGGAATTATCATGGTATTAGTCTTCAAAGAGCTGAAAATTTCAGCAGTTGTCAAATCTAAAGAAGTGCATCCAGAAATTGTCAAATTGCTATCCCATTTTTCTGATGTAGCTCCAGAAGATTTGCCACATGGACTACCACCTATGCGTGATATCCAACATGCAACAGATTTCATACCAGGCTCTTAGCTCCCTAACTTGCCTGCCTATCACATGAACCCGAGTGAGTCTGATGAACTTAAGAGACAAGTGGATGAGCTCTTGGACAAATGACATGTTCAAGTGAGCCTAATTCCCTGTGCAGTGCCGACTTTATTGACTGCAAAGAAAGACGGAACCTGGAGAATGTGTAGATAGCCTTGCAATCAAGAAGATAACAATCAAGTATAGGTTTCCCGTACCTAGACTTGATGATATGCTTGATATGATGGCTGGTTCAACTGTCTATACTAAAATTGGTTTGCTAAAGGGGTACTATCAGATCGGAATTCGTCCACGTGATGAGTGGAAAACAGCCTTCAAGACAAAGGATGGTCTCTGCGAGTGGCTAGTGCTGCCGTTTGGCCTCTCTGATGCTCCCAGCACCTTTATGAGAATCATGACACAGGTATTTCAGCCCTTTATTGGATGCTTTTTGGTTGTTTATTTCGATGATATTTAATTTACAGCAAGAACAAAAAGGAGCACATTAACCATCTTCAACAAGTAATGAGAGTTCTTCATCAAGAAAAGCTCTATATCAACATGAAGAAGTGTACTTCATGGCTCATAGTGTTGTATTTTTGGGTTTTGTCATTTCAAATGAAGGGATAGCTGCTGCTCCGGAAAAAGTGAAGGCAATTGTAGATTGGCCAGTTCCTACTAATTTGAAGGCGATTCGCAGTTTCCATGGGCTAGCTCCATTCTACAACCAATTTATAAAGGGGTTTAGCTCTATTATGGCTCCCATCACTGATTGCATGAAGCAGGGACAGTTTCAATGGACAAAAGCTACAACTAAGGCTTTTGAAGAATTGAAGAAGCGAATGACCAATGCTCCACTGCTTAGGCTGCCAGATTTTTCTCAGGTGTTTGAGGTCCCATGTGATGCTTCTCATGTTGGGATTGGTGGAGTTCTAAGTCAAGAAGGCCATCCTATTGCTTATTTTAGTGAAAAGCTGAATGAGCCAAAGTAGAAATACTCTACTTATGACAAGGAATTCTAAGCTGTTATTCAATCTATTCGCCATTGGCATTATTATCTTATTTATAAGAATTTGTGCTATATTATGATCATGAATCCTCATATATATAAATTCTCAGACGAAGTTCAGTCATCGGCATGGCAAATGGGTTTCTTTCGTACAATACAATTTTGTTATCAAACACAAGGCAGGTGTTGAGAATAAGGTGGCCGATGCACTTAGTCGTGTACATCTTATTCTTACTGCTATGGCTGTTCAAGTGGTTGGTTTTTATTCACTTAAGCATGATTATCGTCGTTATAGAGATTTCAAGGTCATATACGAGGATTTAATGGCTGATAAACAAGCAGAATATGCTGATTTCTCCATCCATGATGGCTATCTTTTCAAGGGGACTCTACTTTGTGTTCCTAGTACTTCACTGAGGGAGGAGTTAATTTGGGAATTACATGGTGGAGGTGCTGCTGGACACTTTGGGCATGACAAGACAATTGCCACGGTGCAAGATCATTTCTATTGGCCAAGTATAAGACGTGATGTTGGCAAGACTGTAGCTAGATGCCGAGTTTGTCAATTGGCCAAAGGGCGAAAGAAAAACACTAGTCTCTACACGCCACTACCCATTCCACATGAACCGTGGCAAGATTTGAGCATGGATTTTGTCCTTGGACTACCAAGAAGATTGCGAGGTTATGATGGCTCACTTTCTCTCATGTGCTAAGACTTCGGATGCTGTCCATATTGCTAAGATTTTCTTCAACGAGGTAGTTAGACTGCCAATGACTAGTTTCAGACAGGGATGTGAAGTTT